CAAGTAAAAAATTAGCAGCTAAAGAAAATTAAAAGAGCTTTTTCAATTTGAAAGATGTGAGACATTGGATCGAACTCTAGTGTGGTCGAAGTCTGTTCGCAAGTAATGCGTGTTGTAGTCGAAGTTTGTTCTAACATGCATGAGTAAATATTGCTAAGGTTGTTAGCATGAGTAAATATTGCTAAGGTTGTTAGCATGAGTAAATATTGCTAGGGTTGTTAGCATGTTGAATTGGGTCTTGCTTGTAAGTCCAATTGTTTAAGTTAGCTTGTACCCTAAGTTAGCTTGTAATGGGTAATTGTTAAAAAACCCATTAGGTTAGTGTGCTATTTTATTATAAATAGGATGCTAGTTTCTCAATCTTAGAATAAGGAAAAATAGGAAGATAAAATCCTAATTTCAAGGGAGAGAGGTTATTTTGTTATTCTTGTATACTTGTAATCTTGTTCTAAGAGAAAGGAAAGAATAACAGTTTAATAATCAATCCTTGTTGTTCCTTGTTGTTTTACCTTGTCTTCTTTATTAACCCTAACCCTTGTGTGTTTCTTGATTGATAAGAAACCGTGTATACTTTGTTTAACGGTATCCTATTCACAACAAATTGGTGCGGTGAGCATGGAGAAGATGCCTTCAACAAAGTATGAGATTGAAAAGTTCACCGGAGTGAACGACTTCGGTCTGTGGCGCTTGAAGATGAAAGCCCTATTGGTTCAGCAGGGTTGTTTGGAAGCGTTGAAGGGTGAGGCAGCCATGGACGCTGCGTTAACGGCAAAAGAAAAGACGGGCATGATCGAGAAAGCCCACAGCGCAATATTATTGAGTCTTGGTGATAAGGTTCTTCGACAGGTATCAAAGGAGACTACAGCATCGGGATTATGGGTGAAACTTGAAAGTTTATACATGACCAAATCTCTGGTGAATCGACTATACCTGAAGCAAGCTTTATATTCATTCAAGATGAGTGAAGACAAAGTGTTGGCTGAGCAGTTGGATATGTTCAACAAGCTGATTCTTGATCTTGAAAATATTGATGTGAAGATCGATGATGAAGATCAAGCACTATTGTTGATGTGTGCTTTGCCTAGAACACATGCTCACTTCAAAGAAACTCTCTTGTATGGAAGGGAGTCCCTGACCTTTGAAGAAGTTCAATCAGCCTTGTATTCTAAGGTCTTAAACGAACGAAAGGAGCATAAACCTTCGACGGTGGGCGAAGGTTTGGCCGTTAAGGAAAAATTCTTGCGAAAGGATGGTAAGTTCGACAAGAAAAAAGGTAAAAGTCAACAAAAGACTTATAGTGGCGAAACATCTAGTATTCGATGTTACCACTGTAAGAAGGAGGGTCACATAAGAAAGTTGTGCCCTGAACGCCTGAAAGATCATGGAGATAATGGCAATGCAGCCATTGTTCAAGATGACTTCGACTCATCTGATGTTCTTGTGGTTTCAAGTGGCGACTCGAGGAAAGAGTGGATTATGGATTCAGGTTGCACTTGGCACATGACTCCAAACAGAGAATTGTTCGATGAGCTATGTGATCAAGATGGTGGATCTGTGCTTTTAGGAAACAACAAATCTTGCAAAATTGCAGGTATTGGATCTGTGAGATTCAAGCTCCATGATGAGTCAATAAGGTTATTGACTGAAGTCAGGTACGTACCTGACTTGAAGAGAAATTTGATTTCTCTTGGTGAATTCGACAGAAAAGGATATGTTTTTCAAGGAGAGAAAAGTATCCTAAGAGTCATGAAGGGGTCGAAGGAAGTCTTGAGAGGCGTGAAGAAACAAGGCTTGTATACCCTTGAGGCTGAGGTTGTAAGTGGTTCGAAAAATGTTGCATCCACGAAATCTATGTCGAAGACAGAATTATGGCACATGAGATTGGGCCATGTCAGCGAAAGAGGTCTGGTCGAATTGGGGAAGCAGAACCTGCTAGGAGGTGACAAAGTCGAAAAGTTGGAATTTTGTGAATCTTGTGTATTTGGTAAATCCTGTAGGGCGAAGTTTAACAAAGGCAAGCAAAGAACACATGGATCCCTGGATTACATTCATGCTGATCTTTGGGGGCCTGCAAGGAATCCTTCACACTCAGGTGCAAGGTATTTTCTATCCATCGTTGATGACTATTCCAGAAAACTATGGGTATTCATTCAGAAGACGAAGGATGAAACTTTTGAGAATTTCAAAAGTTGGAAGATTCTAGTCGAAACTCAGACTGGCAGAAAGGTTAAGAGGTTGAGAACCGACAATGGCCTTGAATTCTGCAACGAAGCTTTCGACAGTTACTGTGTTGGGTCTGGGATTGCAAGGCATAAGACTGTAGCAGGTACTCCTCAACAAAATGGCTTAGCTGAGAGATTCAATCGAACAATCCTTGAAAGGGTTAGATGCATGTTGGTTAGTGCTGGATTGAAGAAGGTGTTTTGGGCGGAAGCTGTTTCGACAGCAGCTTACCTGATAAATAGATGTCCCTCGACTGCCTTGGGAATGAAGACACCTGAAGAAGTTTGGTCGGGACATCCACCTAGTCTCGACAGACTGAGAGTATTTGGTTGTGTGGCCTATGCTCATATTAGGCAATACAAGGTCGAACCTAGAGCTCTGAAATGCATGTTCATGGGATACCCTGAAGGAGTCAAAGCTTATAGGCTATGGTGCCTAGAGCCAGGTCACAGGAGGTGTATCACCAGTCGAGATGTAGTTTTCAACGAAGCAGAGATGGCTTTCAAGAAAACTGATGATGCTGACGAAGAGCTGAAACAGGGAGAGATTCCTGTTGAGGTGGAGCATGTTGATGCTGAATTGCTTACCCCAGATGAAGTCGAAGAAGACACAGAAGATGTTGTCGAAGATGAGGAGACTGATAATGACTACCTGCTAGCAAGAGACAGGTCGAGGAGAGTCATCAAGCCACCTCAGAGACTTGGGTATGCAGATCTTATAGCTTATGCCTTAATCTCTGCAAGTGAGGTTCTAGACGAAGAACCTAGAGACTATAAGGAAGTTATGAGGAATCAAAAGAAGACAAATTGGTCTTTGATGTATGCTATGGTTTGTACTAGACCCAACATAGCATATGCAGTAAGTCTTGTAAGCAGGTACATGGCGAATCCTGGAAAGGCTCACTGGCAAGCATTGAAGTGGATTTTAAGGTACATAAATGGGTCTCTGAATAGAGTCCTAATTTATGGTGGAGCCTTGGGTGAAGATAGTAAAGCAGTAATCGAAGGATATGTCGACTCTGATTATGCAGGTTGTATGGATTCTAGAAAATCTATCTCCGGATGTGTTCACTATGTTTGGGACAGCAATCAGTTGGAAAGCAACACTTCAGAAGGTCGTTGCCTTATCAACCACTGAAGCGGAGTATATTGCTCTAACTGAAGCTGTGAAGGAAACAGTGTGGCTTGAAGGTTTTGCAAAGGAGCTAAAACTTCAAGGTCGAGTTATCACTGTTAAATGTGATAGTCAAAGTGCAATACATCTGTCGAAGAATTCAGCCTATCATGAGCGAACCAAGCACATTGATGTGAGGCTGCATTTCATCAGAGGGGTAATCGAGCGTGGAGAAGTCCAAGTGCTGAAAGTTTCGACAGATCATAATGCTGCTGATATGATCACCAAGACATTGCCCAGTTGCAAGTTTTTCCACTGTATGCAGTTAATAAATCTGCATGAAGAAAGCTAGTTTCTTGATGTTATAGAGTTAGATCCAAGGTGGAGATTTGTGAGACATTGGATCGAACTCTAGTGTGGTCGAAGTCTGTTCGCAAATAATGCGTGTTGTAGTCGAAGTTTGTTCTAACATGCATGAGTAAATATTGCTAAGGTTGTTAGCATGAGTAAATATTGCTAAGGTTGTTAGCATGAGTAAATATTGCTAAGGTTGTTAGCATAAGTAAATATTGCTAGGGTTGTTAGCATGTTGAATTGGGTCTTGCTTGTAAGTCCAATTGTTTAAGTTAGCTTGTACCCTAAGTTAACTTGTAATGGATAATTGTTAAAAAGTCCATTAGGTTAGTGTGCTATTTTATTATAAATAGGATGCTAGTTTCTCAATCTTAGAATAAGGAAAAATAGGAAGATAAAATCTTAATTTCAAGGGAGAGATGTTATTTTGTTATTCTTGTATACTTGTAATCTTGTTCTAAGAGAAAGGAAAGAATAACAGTTTAATAATCAATCCTTGTTGTTCCTTGTTGTTTTACCTTGTCTTCTTTATTAACCTTAACCCTTGTGTGTTTCTTGATTGATAAGAAACCGTGTATACTTTGTTTAACGGTATCCTATTCACAACAAAAGATATACAATTTTATTTTATTTTTCTCTCACTAGTCTATTTCTCCCACTTTTAAAAAAAAAACTAATGAGTTGTTTCTCTTCTTTCTCACTAGTGTGTTCTCAGCAGTGTAAGTTCCCGAAGCTTTTCTAGTGAGCCAAAATCCTTCTCACCAGTGTTGTTCTTTATCTTCTTCTCTCTTTCACAAGTTTCAAGTCAATCATTCGACCCACCACCCCGAGCAAACAGCGTATCTAAATGGACGGAAATATATTGGGATTTTTCAACAGCCAGTTTCCTTTGATGGTTTAGAGCCCAAAAAGCTCGTTGTTCACCCTTAGCTGGACCCTTGACAACTCTACGTACAGATGCATTGCATGCTGATATACTCTACAATTCCTATATCTTTCTTGTTCATTAGTCATTTCTACATAGTTTAGAACATTCGAAATTAGTAAGAATCGTATTACTACGACCTTAACCTTATTTAAATTAAAGTAAATAGTGATATGTTCACAACAACTTATTATATTATCAAAGTTAAAACACATGACACAAGAAACAGAGATTAAGTTCCAAATCCAATTCAGGTGCTGTTCACAAAAAAACATCCAATATTATTCAGTTGTGTCGTTTTTAATATTTCTGGTTCTACTTGCTGTTTTAAGTATAGTTCGGTTTGAATAAGAACTCCTAATTGAAATCACATTAAATTTGTTTTCTAAGGATCATGGTCATAAGGAACAGCAGTGGCTAATAATAATGGAAGGATCAATACAGGCTTTCCATTATGGACAAATTCAGTGAGTAGAGAAGCATGCTCTGGCGTGTAGTCCCATTTATGTCCTGTCAAGTCCAATTGCTGAACCTTACCTGAAGCATGACAACATTCACAATTAAATTGAAACATAAATTATTGGAACTTCAAAATATACTTTACCACACTAGATTTAAATAGGTTCTACATCAACTTCCCTATAGAAGATAATCCACTCTCAATTCTTGTAAGAAAATGAGGTTGAATTAGGAGTTTTCTTCTAGATGAAATTAGTTGCTTATTGTTGTGACCATAATATGTTACTGTTGGCAAGCTTGCATCTAAGTAAACATAGATCATACTTATTAATCCTAGATAAATCACAAGTCGCGGCTACCATAAAAACGCTATAGCACAATGGCCGGCTTTGGAATCTCTTATACAGATTAAACAATTTATACTGTATATGAATAAACGCTCAACTTTTTTAAATGGTTCCTCGAAGGTCAGTAATTACTCATGGCCGGATGGTGTGGAGTAAAAGAGATCTCAGATGGGAGTTTAGCAGGCATGTTTTAGCAACAAATCAATTTAATAATCACAACAAAGTTACTACCTGTCAGCATCTGAGGTCACTAAAATAAGAGAGAGACAGGAACACCATAAATACCTTTTGCAAGCTTTAATGCAGAGGAGATGATGGGCAGTGATTCAATAGGCATGGAATTATTTGCTGCATTCACATCAACTAGTTGCGGAGCCTGTAACAAGAGTTTTGACAAAAAATTGGCAGTTTCAATCCCACCACGGTTTTTGCTGCAACAAAGAAAAAAGTGTCACTTTATTAAACAGCATTAAACAAGCAATGGCAGAATATTAAGTATTAATCCTGACCTTATATTAATTTTCACCAACTTAAGCTTCTCCGTTATTATCAGTGTACTTTGAAGCTCTTGAAAACCAGCTGAACGCAAATCAATGCCTGCAACATCTAGTACTTCAATAGACGTGCTCAAAAATCTTCCCAAAGCTCCTGCTACCTTGCTGCATATGAAAAGCCAATCAAAATTGAGGTGGAGAGATAAACTGAGAGATGAATACTGCCTATACACAAACCTTCCAAGGTAATTTTCAGCAATGCAAAGAGACTTCAATGGTGCATTGAGGGGAGAAAAGGAATCAAGAAGACGATTAACTCCATCATGGGACAAGTCACAAGCCTCTAGTTTCAAAGAAGTCACACGGCAGCATGTTCCAGATGTTCCAGCAAAATATGGGATTAAATGCCTGTTTGATGGTAGACAATCAGACACCCAACTCTGATTTTATATTATTGAAATGTAACTACAAAATGGGAATAAAATTGACCTGATTCCTTCATCCTCAATTGGATTGTCACTTATATCTAGGTCCTCCAAGTTAGGCATGTATGCAAGAGCATATCCAAGACTTTCTGCATCGTCTTTCCGTAAACTGTTCCCCCTATGTAACTAAAACCAGATTAAAAAGCTTCTGTTTATATAATACTGTGAAATGAAAAACATATCAACACTGTCTTACAGCAGCTCATACTAAATCTAACTCTTAAAAAGTTGGGAATAGAGACTAGGGTGATTCACATCCTAACCGATCCAAATAACAACTGCAGACCAATTCAAAAGTTCAAAAACTGCACAAAACTGAATTTTATTGAATATCTTTGGATTTTCTTGTGTAACCCATTCAGTTTGGATTGGATCCGATTTCAGATTCTGTTTTAAAAACCAAACTCAACTGTATGTATAAATTTTAATAACTATTTTATTATTAGTATGAGATGATGTATTAATTTATATTTTATTTTTACAATACTTATTTGTTTACTGAACAAACTGATCAAATCCAAACCAAACTTAATCGAATTGGAACATATTACTATATTAGATTCTTTTCAATAAACAATCTAAAACAAACTGTATATTACTTTAATCTTTGGATTATACGACTTTTTACCTCAAAGCCAATCCAAATTGAACTGTGAACGCCCCTACTAGTTATGACACTATGCACCAACATGTGCCAAAAGCAAGATGTGATACAGTTATAGAGAAACTTTCTCATATTTTATGTACACGGCTAAATTGTCCATCACAGCCAACTAAAGTCAATCATCAAAGATTTCTCCTATCACACAAGAAAACACAACTATTTAGTATGGTGTTACCTCAGGTTGAGTACGCGCAACAGTTGTAAAGACTTTCCAATTCCAACAGACAAATGAGAACCACTTGATAGTCTCCTGTTAAGGTGAGAAAAGCATCCTGCTATCTTAAATAGTATGTATGAAATTTGTGTTAGCTTACAATAACACAGAAAACAAAAAGATTATGTAGATGAGAAGCTTACTTCATTCTCAGAAAGGTCAAGGACAGATATGCTAGAGGAAACATTGAGAAGAGTCGTGAAAAGAGCTTTGGCAAAATTCCGTCCAAGGTGACTGTCAAATAATTTTAATGAGCACAGGGACCTAGCAGAAGCATCAGCGTGAGACTGTAAATACTTGAGACAGAAAAAACTATAATCTAGTCATAATTCCAAGTGAAACAGAAAAATGCATAATTAATTAAGCAAACAATTGTAAATGATTTAAATAGTATGATAAAACTATTGTCAGGTGAGGAACAGATTAGGAGATTAACTTAAGTACTAGATCTAATACATTACATAAGATGAATGCTACTCATGTTAGTCAATTTCTCCAATATTTGAAATTGATGTCATTGTATCATCATTATACTATTACTTTTAAATAGAAGCTATGTATATAAACATAATCACCCTACTCAGCCACCCATAGCTAGCCAAATAAAACAAAATAAATAAATAAACTGAAGAAACAACTGTACACTGGATTCCCTGAGAAATAGAAAAGCAACAGCCATTGTTCAGTTATATTAACATCATCACAGTCTTCAAGTAGTTCTTATCACTCAGAACACATCAAACTTTGATAAAATAACACATCTATGAGTAGTTCTTTCAAAAAATAAAAACACAATAGTGAATAATTTTGCTAATAAACATAAAAAATAAAAATAAAGTCAATTTACACTTGTGTACCTTGCTGAAGACACAAATGATCCAAGCCCACTGGGTAAAGCAACAGTGCATTGTCCAAAACTCGAGGAGACGATTGAGAGGTGTCTGATCCCATGTTTTTCTACACCCTTTGAGACAACAGAATCAAGTATTTTATTAATAAATTCTATGTAGACTGTGCAGTGAATAAACTCCAGCGACGTTAATGTTCTGCTATGTTGAGTGATAAGTTTGCATAATCCATCAACCTGTGAAACCGTGAATATGAAATCATCAAGGTCGTAGAGAGGTAGTTTACACTTGGAAAAACTATTGATATAGTAAAATCATATTTGAAAAGTAAAATGATCTATACACCCAGAAGGTAAGCTTCACGAGGGTGTGGAATCACTAACTTAATTCTTTCTGTCAAAAGGAAGGTATAATTCATGAGTTCTCATGAGCATGGTTTGGAAAATTAAGAAATATTATGGTAGGTTTAGACTTCAAGCAAAGCCAAAGGAGGCCGTACTCAATTTATCAAATACTCTGAGAACAGGAGTAAAAATGTTATTCGTGTATGTGGATGATAATTATAGTGACATGTGATGATGAGGAGCAACAACATTTAGGCAAAATTTTAGTTAAGGAATTTGAGACTAAAACATAGAAAAATTGAAGTATTTTTTGAGAATTGAAGGGGCCTCCTTAAGAAAAGAATCTTCAAATCTCATCAGAAATGCATTACCGATCTTTTACAATAGACTGGCAAGACAATATGCAAACCACCAAGTACACCAATTGATCCAAGTGTAAAATTAAAGAACACGGAATAAGATATTGGGGTTGATTAGGATATGTATCAAAGGTTAGTCGAAAAACTTCTATATCTAACATACTAGATATGATGTTGCTTTTATTGTAAGTTTAGTCAGCCAATTCATGCACAAACCAAAAGAGATTCATTTACAGGCTGCACTCCGAATTGTGCAATATTTGAAAGGAAGTTCAAGTAGAGGAATTTTGAAATGGAATGAAAGGGTGGGTCTAGCAGCATATACTAATGCTGACTATGTTGGATCATTTGGGGACAGGAGATCAACTATGGGATATTGCACTATCCTGAGTGAGAATCTTGACTTGGATGGTTAAAAAACAAAGTGTGGTATCCACATTTAGTGTTGAAGCAATGTTCATGGAAATTACACAAGGGACATGCGAACTAGTATGAACAACAAAAACTTTGAAAAGGTTGTTTTCAAAATAAGAATGATAGATATTCATTCAACAATTGGAAGAAGAGTGTTGTAAATAATGTATTTTTACTATTATAAATAGTAATTTGTACTTAGCCTATTAGTCCATTAGGCAGGCAAATTAAATTAGTATATAAACAGATTAGTGTCTGTATATTTTTCATACTAAAAATATAATATTAAGTTTTGACAAAATTAATATTGTCCAATCTTATGTTGAGGGAATGTAATCTTAGGCCTAATGTCTGCAGCAAAAACACAAATTCTAATTTATTATTATGCACAGAATAGTTCGATTCAGCACAATTACTGAACGGGCAAAAGTTGCAATTGCAACCAAATTATTGGAACAAATACATTAGACACAGACAAAACTACAAATATATATAATACTCCTACAGTTCCTTTTCATAAGCACTCATTGCATATTTTCCTTATACTAAGACAAGTTGATAGTGTGAATTGTGTGTATAATATTCGCTAAATAGAAGTGTTTAATATTGATTTTTCATATTTCCAAACAAAATAATGGTATTAGTTAAAGTTATGTTTGGAAGAAGAAAAAAATAACATTTCGTTCTTTTTTAAGTATCAATTTTTGACTTTTTACAGATTCTAAGGAAGCTAATAAATTGTTACTTTTGAAACAATAAAATAGTTGTCGTTTTACCTTTAATATCCTTTAACTATTTATTAATTTATTTGACTTTTTTCTCTCCTGTAATAAATAATTAAGAGTAATTTTGACAAAAGTACAATTAATACTACTTTGAACTTTGAAATATGACAATTAAAAAGGAACAAAAAAATTCAAAAAAAAAAAGACTTAAAAAGGATCGGAGGGAGTATAATTTAGGACTGAGGGATTATACATATCTACATGAAAAAGGAAGCTCACTTGTTCCTTAGATCGGATACATCTTAGCACAAGACACTGCAGCTTGCATTCCTTCAACAAACGCTGCAAGTCAGAATCGGAATCAGGGTTATATGACGACATACATGTTACAAAGTTTTAAAGCACTAAAAAGTCAAAGTTTATGAAAATATCATATAATATCTTGAAACGTACTATAAATATAATAACTTGAGGAAATTGCAGATAGATTCAAGGGAAAATTCCCCTATTCCATTTTATTGACATTTCAAAATGCATTACGCATGAACCTATATTAAAATACTTTTCAGATATAGGATGTGGCCACAGTAAATATCCATGTCATAAAAAAAGGTATAATAAACACGGCCAAGTCATAAATGAATGTACCACATCAGCTAAAATGATTCCAAATGGAATGGGGGTGGAAAGTAAATAAAAAATAAAACTGAAGGAACAGAAAAATGGTTTTTAAAATGGAGGAACCAAAAGTGTATTTAAGCCCAAAAAATTATTAGCTAAACTACAATAATAAAATAACTTCTAGAGTAAAATGTCCATATTGTAACAGTTAGATCAGAAACACTACCTAATGCATTGTAGGACAAGATACAATTAAATAGGGATATTATTGGGAAAAAATTGACACTTACTAGAGTTAACTTAATCAGCAAGATTCTATTACAACAGTAGCTTGTAGAGCAAGCTTCCAAACACTAAACTAACTCAACTAAAGCTGACACTAATAATACTTTCTTGATATTCTAAAGGACGGATAATTTGAGGTAATCATGATATAGTACAGAAATGACATGTCAAGTCTCTGCAATTCTTAGTTCAATTGTAAAGTGTCTCTTGGCAGTAAGAAACAGTTCAGTGGGTGGTATTCTTTAGTTGTCGCATCACAGATTGGAGGTGTAGCATAGTGGCTTCAATTGCTGCCAGAAATTGAGGGCAGTAGCAGTGTTACATAGCATTATCAGGGGAGGGACCCAAAAACACCTTTAAAATAGACATTGTCGAGGGGGTGGGGATCTTTAGGGGAAATTGCACAGCCAGTTGGGGCTTAAGTGACCAAAGACAACTCGACTCTTACTTTCCCCTCACCATCAGAGCCTGGAGTTCTACAATCAACGACCTAATCTGGCGACCACCGTTTGAACAACCATCGCAGTGTTGCCATCAAGTCTGGGCTGCCACTGGTGCACCTTTTGGAGTTTGTTAGCCCCTCTATCATTTGAGCTTTAACCCTTCATCTACAACAACTTCCAGGGGAGTGGTTTCCCTCTCATTTTCCTATTTCCACTGAGGCTGGGCTTTCTTTTACTTTATTTTGGTGTTTTAGTGTTGACATAGTGGGCTTGCAATCCCGCTTGTTATTAGCTTTCTTTTGGGTGTATTATTTGGAAATGTTGGGCTTTTGTTACTTGAGCTCACACTGAATATATGAGTTTTCAACTCTTGGGTTTACATCCTAAAAATGAAAGCAATTTGTATCCTAAGCTTATTGGTTAGGTTGTGCCACCTCATCACTTTAGTTCTGTTAGATGTGTCTGCCCATCAGCTTTAGGTGTTATAAGACAGTTATAGCTGTCAAACCTGCTGAGCAAGTTAGTTACAGCTGGATGTAGGATTAGTTACAGTAAGGCGCAGGTTAAACATCTTATAAATACTGTATCTCTCTCTGATCTGAATCATAACAGAATATTCAAAAGGAATATAAAAAAATCAATTCAGTTTTCTCTCTTTTCTCTCAGTTTTGCTTCACTTTAACAACATGATATCATAGAGCTTTAGGTTTGCCCGTAAACACAAGCTACGACTATGTTACCCTCACCCATCAATCCACCAAATGCTATGATATCATAGAGCTCTAGGTTTTTTCGTAAACACAAGCTACAACTATGTTACCCTCACCCATCAATCCACCAAATGCTATGATATCATAGAGCTCTAGGTTTGTCCCAAAATTGTTAGGCCCCTTATTAAAAGATACTATAAGAGAAAGGGCAGAATGGGCCAAGAGAAGTAGTTATGGCAGTTATAATTTTTAAATAAAAACAGTAGTAGTTATTTGTTCTTATCTGTATTTGTAATAAGTATAAATAGGGAAAGGATAAGAAGGATGGGCATTGAGAATTTTACTAAGGGTTATTAAGGAGGGAGGGAACCAAGCTCTCTAATCTTGGTAGGAATGTGTTAATTTTCTGTCAATACAGAGTGTATATGTATGCTGCCAACTCTGATTGAGAACCTTTCTCCAGAGTTTATTCTGTAACAAATACTTATTATTCACTAATATATCCCATTGATACCGGTTTCTATCAAACACAAGCTACACCTATGTTCTCACCTATTCATCCACCAAATGCTATGATTACCAACTCCATTCCCTATGTCAACACCACATAGTTCCCTGACTCTGGAGCCTCATTCCATGTCACAAAAAGCTTCCCAAAATATCCAACAATGTGCACCAATTGAAAGAATTAATCGTATGAGTGTCATGTGGATGTCGGAGAGCGATTTAAAGAGTGTCGAAGCAAAGAAAAATAATATATTTTGGCGATACTTGTATGAATTTTCCGACACATGTCTTACGTGTCATATAAATGCCAGACACCGTGACACGCCTGGTCCTAGAGGTGTTCGTGCTTGATAGGTAATATCCCTTATTCCAATAAAAATGCTTCAATGTTTTGTTTTGCTTTTTGTATGGGAAAACCTAATAACTTTGTATAAAATGTGAATTTCATTGATCCAATCGATAAATTGTAAGTTCTTTAAATAGATCAAATCTTTATAAAATTTCATAAATTTTTTAATTATTTGATGATTTATCAAAATCATTTTATTGACATATAATATGATACTTAAAATATAGGATAATGCATGCTCCTAAATTACATGACTATAAATGTATAAATTATTTAAAATTTGTATGACTATTAAGATAATAGACATTGATACAGCAACCGGATATATAAAATTCACGTTAACATAGGAGTCGTCGTGCAATTGCTTGGCAACTGATGTCAACAGACGCAGAATACATATTTTAAATATATGGAGAATGATGAATATGCATATTGCAATGAATGATTAGAATAAAAGCGAACTCACTAAAATAAAGTGCAGATTGCATAAAAGTGATAACTGCACAATAATTGCTATAACTAACTCACAGATTAAGTAACCTACTAACAGAAACAGAGCTGCAGCGCATGCACACTGCTTCTGTATACTACTCTATCGTGCTGATAGTATTCAGTTGTAACTCTGCACTGACTATATAATGTGAACTCTCTTTTGTTCTGAATCAATTCAATAAAACTCAGAATTTTCACTAAATACTTTCTCATTCTTACAAATAAAAAATTTCAAAGTAGTAGTTATCATGGACAGAAAGTTAATGTATATAACAACTAACAAGTAGTTGTCAGTGCTTTCCTTGAGATTATGAAAGCTATTGATGCATCTGCAACAACCACCACGCCTTATCCCACTAAGTGGTATCAGCTACATGGATCAAATTACGCCATAATGTTCCATCCAAGACCATATTTTTATCCAATTCATTAATCTCGGGATCTTTCTTAATAGTTTTTCTTTTAGTTTTTTTAGGTCTTCCTCTACCTCTAGTTATTTGACTCCTCTCCATATGATGTACTCTCCTTGCAACAAAATCTGAACCACCTAAGCCACCTTCTATCTATATGCCCAAACCACCTAAGCCTATTTTTCACCATCTTTTCTACTATAGCTGCTACCTCAGCACTCTCTAATATTGTCATTTCTAATCTTATCTTGTCTAGTCCTTATCACACATCCAACGCAACATCCTCATCTATGCTACACTTAAGTAACTTCCTCATCTCTGCTACAGATGCATTTAACAAAATCAAAATGATTCCAAAAAATAAGTACAAAAGAAAGTGGAGGTAATCAAAGAGTTTTTAATGATATTCTAGAAAGCACAAAACTTACAGTAGTTTCTGTATCGCACAGAATATTCTGCAGTCTCAGACAACTGCATCAAGACAAAGTGATAAAAAGAAGTGAAAAACTTGATCAAGAAATGCAGTGATAATAGATTTATACAATTTGGCAAGCCAATGGTTCCTATTATATAATGGATTGTAAATGGCTAGGAATATTAATCTACATGCATGAATAGTGTGACTCTGGGTCAATGACAAGAATCAATAGGCCCCAATTGTAAAATGAAAAGGAACTAGAAGAGTGCTATTCTATGATGCACCTATAATATACGCCCTTTTGCCTCCCGTGTCTAAATGAACACACGCCAATATGTTGTCTACTCTTGTTGCTACGGTATCAGACATCCTTTTTAAAAATAAAAATAAAAATTTATGACATCCCAACTCACTGCTGCTACGAGGAAGAACTACCTCTTCGGCTATTTGACTCTTCACATCTTAAACAAGAATGCAATGAAGGGAGTGCTAAGATGTGGGACATTAGAGGAGATGCATAAAAAAGTAAAAATGATCCATTAAACTTTAAAAAAAAGTTGAATGAATCGAATTCATCCATATTATTAAATGGATGGATTGGATCCAGTCCATTAACAATTTTATTGTGTAGTGAATGGATTTATAGTTGGATTAATTGGATGATGAATAAATTGACTCAATTGCCACTCTTGGAAGAGTTGGTCAATGATATCTCCTTTCATTTCCTAATATTTGTCATTGTGTGTATCCTTGGCCTCTGACTTGCAATTGGTTGGATGTGCATATATATTATGTTTAAGGTCCATTTGAACTACATTATGTCTTAAAAGTACTGTTGTCATGACATAATTTGAATTAAAATTCAAATCATATTTTTTACTACAATTTCTCAAATGCTACCAGAATGCCTCACTATCAAAATGATCCAATCTAGTGGGTGGCTGCCCCAGCCTACTCTTTGCATAGCAAAAATGCAGAGGGAAAACCAAGCTTACTAGTCAGCTCAATTAAAAACTGATGCTCAAAGTAATCGAGCTTTACCAATAGAAAGAAAATATTTTCCATGAATACAAAACTGTAATCCATGGTTAACTCATTTTTATATTTTTTTAATCTTAACCCTCAAAATACTAGGGGAAAGTTCGACTCGGGTAATCCACAAAGTTCGGTCAAAGGTAAATAAAGACTAACTAAGAATTGTAAGGATTGAACTCGGAGTCACTCCTTTATTATATAAAGCTAGTCAAAACTGATTGTTTTTATATAAACAATGATAGGAGACAACAATTTAAAATCTTCACCTCACATGGCTGCCAAATTGTAGGCAATGGTAAGAAAGTTTTGAATATTTACAATATGACTGAATTGTAAGTCCCACAAAACCAATATAGCTCAGTGTGCTGTCTGAAAAGAAGATGAGAAAAATGAAGAAAATTCAATAAATTATCAATTGACAAAATAAAACGGGTGAAGTAGGGTGTGCACCACAAAGACAAGATTATTTTTGCACAAAGTAAGGCACCTTAAGTATACATACTGTAAATGTCATTGATGCCAAAGCAAACTCTTTGGAACTAGTCTTTTTCTTCTCAAAAGTTTTATACTCACATGGAAGGTATCAGTCACAGAAAATACTTAAGAGACTAAAATGCCACTTCAATAATTTTTCCAAAAGGATAACCAATCAACTGAACAAACTTTTAATCATCAATAGTGCTCATTATTATCTGTCATCAGTCAAAGGCTTCGTGGAACGCGTTCAACATGTCAGTCTCAAATACTATCTATATCCTTAAAAGTGAAAAGCTTAAGTAACATGTTACAATCACATTTCTTCTTTACCAAAAACACATGAGCAACATTTTTGTATAAGGAACAAATTTGACTTATTTCATAGCCATTTTAAAATTGAACATACTTTCTGGAGCTAGAAGCCTGATACAAAATTAGAACACTGCAGAACTTTGAGAATCTGCAAATCTCCCAAATGGTCAAAGGTCCCAAAGGTTTATCAAATCACATCACATCATCCATTTAAAAAAAATACATACAACATTTTCTCATGAGCAAAATTGAATTATCTCATAACCATTTTCAAAATTGAACATACTTTTTTCCTTATCTGGAGCTAGAAGCCTGATATGATAGGAAGGAACTAGTATTTTATTAGAAGAAAATAGGGAAAATCCCCTTGACTACACCAGAACTTTGAGGGTCTGCAAACCTCCTAAACGCCCACAGGCCACAAGCCACTTAAATGGCAAGATTCTCACCTCCTCTCAACTCTTCCCATGGGCCACATCTCTAACAATTCCTAACTGAGTCAAATTTTCTCAAAGGAAACTTCGAGTTAAAAATTTCAATATGAAGAAAGTGACTTAGCATAGTACCTGAAACCTGTATGTCGCCAATACGTCCTTTAAAAGATGTGACTAGTGCTTTCTCTGTTGCTTGATCCAGACATCTGTAATTTCAAGTAGATTATAGAAAAATATAATTTGAGTGAAACCAATATCAAGTGAAAAACATAATAGTATAATGCTTTAGTGTAATACTTTTGCACATGGGTCTCCCAGTATACTTTCTGCCAGTCGGTTGGTTGGATCTGATTAATGAGATTAGGCCATCGCAACTCAAACTTCTTCCGCCATGCTGTATTTAGATTCCAATCCCTGAAAGAACAAGATTTCATTCACAAATTCATAACCAACAAGCGTAACATTGGAATTATTTGCACAGACAAGATGACTATAAAATTCTCACCTGGAACGTTTTCTCTTGTTTGTTGAGTCGTCATGCAAATAATCTTCCTTAGTCAGATCCTGGAATGGCCTGTTCAAATAAAAACTATTGAGAAGCTGAAATTTACGATGCAGACAAGTGCTTTGGGATGCGCTAACATAGTTGTTCGGCGTGTCTTTTCACTGTGGTTGTCAAAATGCGTTAAGGGCTTTAGGCTATATAATCATTGTTAGTTAGCAAAACACCGTACTGTTATATTTTTGAAATTATTGTATCCGTTATCATTTATCAAAAAGTAAAGTTAGGGCTGAAAGGAAAATTTTATATTTCTAACTTTCTCTTGTACCAAAAATAACACAGTGATCCAACCAAAGTAAGACATCAGAATAGGATAAAGATAACTTCAGCAGCTAACAAAGAACTTAATACTACTAAGAAACTCTCCCGTTATCCACACAACACTAAATAGTGACTTAAATAGGCAAATCAGTCCTTAAAAGTCTAAGCATCAATCAAATTAGTTTCTTTTTTATTTTTTTTGAATCGGCTAATACATCCCTGAAATTGTAAAATGTTATTCAAAATACTCTCTATGATAACTTTTTCCGTTAGAAGCTATGACTTCACACATTAAGTGGACATGTCGCATTGCAAGTTGATCCCAAATAAATGTAACTTCACTAGGGATTAACTTGTCTATGAAATTTACTTATTCACATCAACTCAGACAAATTTGTTAGTGATTGCAATCATGCAAGGACCAACTACTGGCAAATTACTCTTTAAGAGACCTAAATTTCACACACAAATTAGTATCTAGTCTAGGTTGTTAATCTCAAAATAGCCGCGCGTAGCGCCGAACCCCCAAAATGCTATAGTGGCATAGCGGATAGCGAGATGACCGCTATTTTGATCTTTAAAAACCAAGGTAAATACTTAACATGAATACATAAATACTTAAAATAAGTTCTAACAACATACATATTGCTTTAAAAATAAAAGTTGCAGCAACATACATAAATTTCAACATCACCCCAATATAAGTTCTCATCAAAATCAAATTATAAATGTGTTCAAAATGACTAAACGGAATTCTAAACATAAACAAACGTAAACAAAATGACTAAATCACATCCGCCTCGTCTTCACTTCTAAGTTCCACCACATTAATATCATCCTGCTCATCACTTGATTCAACTTCAAACTATTCTTCTTTCACCTCCAACTCCTCATCTCCGTTAGACACTAATGTAGCAAGTCTAGAGTTATGTCTAGTAACTCTTGTTGGTTCATTAGCCCTAGCGGAATTACCAACAACTTCCCAAGTCAAACACTCTTCTCCCAAAACCAAATCATCTTCCAATATTCCATTTTCATCCTCATTTTGTTGCAACCATTCATAACATTCATCAATATTGTTGAGGAGAATAGGATCATTTAAATCATTGCTATTGAAGTGTTCTATAAGAGGCAAACATACTAATACCCTTTAATATCATATTTTATATTAGTGAAATAAAAGGCAAAAAAACCCAATCCTTTAAAAAAATTAAAAATTTTAATATTGCCCTTTCTTCACAATAGTAGTCTGTAAACCGCTACAGAACCGCTATTGCGCCGCCACGACTTCCCAAATAGCGGCCGCTATCTTCACTATCGCTGTTAGCAGTTAGCAGGCCTAAAGCATAGCGCCGAGGTCCTCTACTGCTACGCTATAGTGCGCTATCGACGACCTAGTATCTAGTATGGTGACACAGAAGTGTTAAAAAATAGTTTGGTGACACAGATGTGAGATCATTTTGGAGGGACCACATACCCAACTAATTTGTCACACCGTAGTCTCTAACGATAAGAGATGATATAGTGACTAATTTGAATGGCTTCTACAATTTCGTCGATGTATTTGTCAATACTCAAAAATTAAAGACTATATAGACCAACGATTACACTTCAATGATAAATTTGCATATTCACTCACTAAATAGTACTCCCTCAATCCTATTTATAAGAAAATGTTTACCTTTTATATACATTGAATAACTTATGTATCTGGACAATTTGTAGACCAGATACATTGTCGATTCAACGAATCTAAAAAGTATCTGGACAACAAGATAACAACTAGTACTCATAACACGCAAAAAACATCACCAATTATCGTGAATCACCAATTTTGCCCTAAAATTTGTAAATGCCAGACAATTGGTGCACCAAACTAACAAAATTTCGGAAAAATCCTAATGTTGAAAGTATCATATCGAAATACTCCTGGCTGATCAAAAAAGTACTAACATTATATGATTGGTAAATTTTCAATTTCTGTGATAACTTGAAATTGACTAACCTACAATTCATAACTAAACTACTACCGATTCATTATTAAGCCTTAACTTCCACATAATAGTTCATGCATGCAAAAGTCAATCAAATATGAGTTTAATTACCGTGAAAAAGAGAATGAGAAACGAACTTACATGTGAAGTTGGAAATTGTACAATCCGACAGGAGGTAAACGCGAGACTAAATCCTCAATTAAATGCGACGGAAGTTCGTATATATCAGGAAGAATAGCAACAACAGCATCATCGCCTGAAACAGTTTCAGAACTCTAGGTTAAAATCTCATAAACTTCATCTCTAAATAATGCAAAAAAAATTGATAGAGAACGAAAAAATGTACGATTGTACCAAGGACGAGTTTCCGTTTGATGTGATCGATGCAGAGTGTGGTGAGGGACGGAGGCGAAAACGAATCGTTCGCCTCCGTCATTGTATCGGGACCGGAGTTGCGGTTAGGCGAAAACGAGAAGCACGCAGCAAAATGTAAAGGAAAGAGTCATTTGCACTGACTTGCAAGAGTATATATAGTCTCACTGTGCTTAGTTGCTACCGGTTCCGCAAAATGCACTACTTTTTTACTTCGGGTCCCAATTTATTTTTCTCAAGATTGAAAGTGATTTGGATTTTGTAAGAGTCACTATTTCAAAATTAGTGTAGGATTTAATCTAATAAATAAAATTTGTTTTAAAATAATTGTCATTTTCATTTTTTTTAATGTAGATTTGATTACTTTATTTTAATTATGTTATTTAATTATTATTTTATATATTATTTTAATATTTGAATAAGGTTAATTTAATAAAAATATAATATTTTATAATAATATTGTTGTATTTCTTAATTTTATATTTAAAAACTTTAAAAGACATTATTTTAAAATGGATGGAGGGTTGTTCTTAAACTTTTGATTATCAAACTGACTTTTTTAGTTTCATTGTGTTATTTTTATTTAGCTCAAATTTGAAAAAAATGGATAAAAGTCTTTTGATAATCGTATTTGATTGATATTTTATTTTATTTATTCTAATATGTACTATTCTTTTATACTCTCTTATCTCTATTATAAGAAAGCTTTGATTTTAGATTTATTCAACTATTTGAACAAAATATAAATTAGATTCAATGAATGTGACATCATTGAATATAAAAAGAAATTATTTATCCTGACCATTATTCTCTTATACTATATCTAGCCTCTATTATAAAAAAGTTGTATTTTTATAAATTAAATTGTATTTTTGTAAATTTATTGTATAATTAATATATATGAATAAAATATAGATTAGATTTATTGTATGTGTCACTCCTTTATAATCTTATTGTATGTGTCACTCCTTTATAATCTAATATTATATTATTTGATATTGAAGTATATTTAATAACATTAAATAAATTAAATATCACATATTAACTTATTTCAACAATGAGATATTTTAGAGTCGCACTTAATCAATGGGTCTATAGATATCACTGGTGCATTCCTAAAGAAACAAATTTTATCTAAATTACCTATGTTTTTTCACATGAATCGTGAAGTATTCAGTTAAGTGACTTTATAATTGTCTTCTAGCAGATAATATTTAATGGTACAAAAGTGATTAACTCATGCTCATCTAGGGACCATAGTAGGTTCTGGTTGAAGAATGACATACACCATTATCATAATAAAAATGACACTTACATAACACACTTTGTGGGACTCTTATCGTAGGTCAATCTAGTATAAAGCTTACTCTTGATGTTTATACTTGTGTGAAAAAATTATATTTGATATTTATGATATGTGAAATATGACCATTTATTTACTCACATAATAGATTATATGCATTAATGTTATTCAATTTGATGATAAAATTTGGCTACAAATGCTTTGAGAATGATTTATTTATTTAATATAGTCTCGTGGTTAAGTCATTCTTAATATTTCATTAAACTAACTAACTATTTTATAGATTTTATTATTCTGAACGAACAGAAGCCTCCCAATTGTTTAGTTTAACAGCTTCGAAAATGTTATTGGTACGAGTTTCACCTTCCGTACAGATCATCATAACATTTTCTTCGATCTGGTAGATAGGTTATACGAGATTACGAAAATTGCAAATGAAAGAGATATGAAAGTTACGCTTATTAATATGATTGTCTTCATCATTTAAGGTTAGAGCTATTTTTTTTACTAACATAATCGACTTCAGTTGCTTTGAGGATCTAGACTTCAACTAAGTTATCAATACGGGCTTTGGCCACAACAAGGATAACGACGGCTTACATGATTTCTCTTATGAATTGAGGGTCACTCATACGGGCAACGTTGTCTTCGGTGCGATTTTGACAAGGATATGTTAAGAGTCATGACGTTGCATGCACGGTCTTTCTCAATGATGCGAATTTGTTTGGATTTGATGACATTTTTAATGATATTGCCGCATGGTGCTTGGGAAAATCCAACTTTCACGGGAAAATGGTGTTTATATTATTTCAATGACGATGGTGGTTTGGAGAGTGACTTGGTGCATCACTCGGTCATGAGTATGACCATATTATTTTTCTCCATTGTCACCATATTCACCCTTATTATCACTAACATGTGTCTAGTCATTGTTGCCATCATTAGTATATTTATTGATTAAACTTTGAGTCAGTCAGATTTATTGGATCCACTATGGGCACCAATTATACTTTATAAAAAAAATACAACGAGAGACAGTCACTAATCATATGGGGTTGCATGAGAATTTAGGGTGTTTGACAAGGTATTGGGGTTAGCTCGCATAGGGTTGTAAGAAGCTTTATATTTGGTTTTCTCCTAAGAGATTGGATTATTCCCAATTATGGGATTGAGATATTTATAGAAGATCCTTTGGGTCTATGTTAGAAATCCAATAGATGGTTGCTTTTATTTTGTTATTAGAAACATAAGAGTAATTGAAGACTCATTATCACACGAATTATTGGATAAGAGATATTATTTTAACTGGTATTACTTTGACATCTCATATTTCATGTTTTCTAAGAAAAATGGATCATGCATATCGGATCGGATGTTCAAACTCAGCTTCGAGCAACAGAGGGTCGGTTTAGAAGAATTACAAGTCAATGCTAATGCAAAAAAAAAAAGGGCATTACAATGCATAAGCAATTAATTCAAGAATTTGAATTCAGAGACATGTTTAAGCCACAACACCCTACCACCCCGCGATTTACACTGTTTTTCCCTCATAAATTTAATAATTTGCAACTGTAACTCGTTTGTTCCAGCCATCGTAATCCCTCGTTGCAAGACAAGGAAACCAAAGGTGGTTGCTCTTGAATACATGCTCGAAAAAGACTTGGCTCCTCAGACTGTAACCGCTGCTGACAAGGATTAACTAAGGAAGTTCTGTAGTAAGGGAGTGAGAAGATAATTCCAATATTGGCAGCATATCAGTCCCTGCGTGTAATCTACTTCATCACTAGTTTTTAGTAGAGGTGGCAATAGGATCCATTAAGACAAAATCCATCCAATCCATCCATCAAAAAAATTCATTCAATCCATCCACCACATAAAAAATAAGTTAATGAATTGGATTAAATCCATCCATTTATATGCATTGATGGATTCAATCCATCCAACATATTTTAAGAATCCAATGGATTATTTTTATTTTTGTTATATTATTTTTTAAAAAAATAATTAAAAATAGATTTTTTTAAAATTTAATTAAAAAAAAATTTAAGAAAAAAATTGTTTTTTTTCAATAAAAAAATTGTAATATTTTCAAAAAAAAGATAGATTTTTTTTCCGAAAAAAATCAGTTTTTTTTTTCTGAAAAAAAAGTCTGCTTTTTTTTTTCTGAAAAACAATCTATTTTTTTTTTGAAAAAAAAATCTACTTTTTTTTCTGAAAAAAAATCGGTTTTTTTTGTGTGAAAAATTGATTTTTTTTCCAAAATAAAAAACTGATTTGTTTTTCGAAAAAAAGTCGATTTTTAAAAAAAACAATTTTTTTTCGAAACAAAAAACCAATTTTTTTTAATAAAAAAAATTCCCGAAAAAAAGACCGACTTTTTTAAAATACAAAAAATACAAAAAACCGACTTCATAATTTTTTTTTAAATACAAAAAATGAATTTTTTAAAAATAAAAAAAATTATTTATTTTTACAAAATAAAATAATTTATTTATTCTTACAAAATAAAATAAAAAGTTGGATGGATGGATTTGATGGATTGGATTGGATAATTTTAAGAAAATTTTAGTGGATTGTTAATGGACTAATGGATTGTTTTAATCCATCCATTAACAATCCAATCCACATCCATCTAATTCATCCATTTTGCCACCCCTAGTTTTTAGTGGTATTAGGAACATAGTGATCATCTTGATGATGAGTGAATCATACAACTTACCAAATACGCGAAAATATAGCAATGTTCACTTACCCAAAGCCTAATGAGTAGAAGGTGAAGCGACTCGTAGAGCATCGAAAACTTTGGAACGAGACGAACCTGCATGCATGAACCAAATCAAACAATATAAGCAACAGGTCATTTGAAAAGGTCTTATGTGAAGTTTAAGAGAGGAAGAGAGATAATGGTTTTCCGTAAGCGATACGATTCACTATTCCTTTTGAGGATTGCTAAAGCCAGAGATTATTCCCAATCCGCCCATCAAATTCTTCACTTAGCAAATCGGGCAAGAATAATGTGTTAAGGTTTTCTAATACAAGCAAATGAGGAAGCCAAGTTGGCAAAGCAAGTTCCAGACAAATACCATTGATTCTTTCCTTTAGAGAAATTCTTTCAAAATCTTCTAATGTTAATACCCCTACATTTGTTTGAAAGAATCTGGTATTCATCCGGCAGACATGAATGCAACTTTCATAACTTTGTTATTCTCGCATTGAGAACGAACAAGACAGCCTGCGGGATAATAGAAATTCAATGAGTCGCTGCTAAATCGGTAAACATCAGCAGAAAGGACGAGAAGAAAGTGTTAAATGTTTTCATTATACCTGAAACATAGTGGACAGTGCGAACTAGCTTTTAATTCAATTGTATTGAGACTCGGAGAGTTTTGTTGTATGGAACTACATGAAGAATAATTCTTCAAAATACTACCTTGCCAACATTGAAACCAATGGTGAGCTTCTAGAAGTGAAAGAGAAACTAAGATCAAAGACATAAAGTAACCACCTTCAGTCTTCAGACTCCAAGCTTCCATGCCCCGATGTCAAAAACAAGCAAGTCAGATTCGCTGAATTACTCTTCATCAAGACAACCGCAAGTAACTTGTAAGCCAGCAACAATCTTCCATAACAACACTAGCTTATTGGTATAACCACTCAGGTGGGGTACCCCTATGACATGAACTCTGATACGCCATCATCAAATGCTTGTGTTGCAAAAGAAATCATGTTAGGGTTTTGTTTTTTTCTTTGCTTTCGTTCCT